TTTTGAAGCAATGGACCTGGTGAATGCCAGCCTGCATGACTACAGGCAAAAGAGCAGACATGAGAAGCGGACCTTTTCTCTGCACTCTCAGTGCGGGATCCCACGGCCTGTCCTCATGAGAGCGCTCTCCAAGCGGCTCAGGAAGACCAGATCACACAAATAGATCACTGAACACACTGAGAACTTGAAGCCAAATAATGGGGGGGCATTATCACAAATAACCACTGTGGACATAGGCTTTGTGGTTTTAGTATACTCTTATGATAAGAGAGGTCCAACTCGGCAATATGGTGGGCCTTTGTCTCATAAGTTTAGCGCCGAGGAAACCCACCTGCAGTTCTGATTCGCAACTATTGTGCCGCAGTAGGATGCCCGCAACATCCGCAAAACAACCCCATAATCGTGAGTCTCAGAGTTCCACGGTCCAAGACACGGCAGCACTCGAAGCAAACTTGCTTCGACGCAGCAGCCCCCTGTCCCCCTGGTTTTGCACCGAAGGGGAGCAAGTTGAAGATCGTCGGTGGCGTCGGCGCCGAGGCTGGATGCGTTGCTGGCTACTTCTCAGCGCTGATAGATCCCCTGTCGAGTCAAGCCCATCCAGCCCTCGCGACAAGCTTGCCAACGTAGTGCGCGCATGCATCATGCATGGGTAAACACAATTAAAACACGGCGGAAACCGTCGCGCTCCACCGATCCTTCCACATTCGTTAGCTTTGGGTGTGGGCTTCGGATTTCGGCAGGTGCGACAGCATGGAAAGACCACTTGCCTTACAAGAACCCCTGGCAAAGCCGCTGCAGCGTGCAATGTGTCCTTCCAGTGTGATCTCGCAGCCTGAACAGTGTCTTCACATGCTGGACCTAGATGCCATGTGCATTACAAACTCATAAATGAACAAGTAAACTTGTGTGCATGTATATAAATATATGCGCACAAATACCTTCATGCGCAGACATACACACATAAATACATACGTATACATAAAAGTATATATATATACACACACATACATTTACACATTTATACGTTTATACATGTATGCATTTATACATTTATACACGTATGCATTTACACATTTATACATTTATACATATATGCATACATGCATACATACATACATACATACATATCTATACATATACACTTATATACATATATACTCACATACTTTTACACTTTTATACTTATATACTTATATACTTATATACTTATATACTCTTATACTTATATACCTATATACATATATATATATATACATATACATATATACATACGGTCAAAGGCATGTTGTCAATAGCTAGCAGATTGAGTTGGGCACTAATTGAATAATGGGCTACTATAAATTCTCGTCACATCTGCTATATTGCTAATTGAACAAAAATTGAAGGTTAGTTAAGCATATAAGTGTTCATTGAATGTTTTTCCAATACATAGGTGCTCTTACAGTTACACAATCTTAATAACAAGTGCGTCTATTGCGAATGATGTATGCGTGCTAGATAGTGGCTATTTACAGGGTGGAAGATGGGTATTTTGCCATATTTCAGAAATATACCCCTGCGCTGTCGTCCTGATTTCCTACCGTTCCGAAATTAGCCGCCAAGCCTCGAATATTTTCACCATATATATAACGTTGGATAAATCTCGT